CATCCAACAGTTATATGAAGAGCAACCTTCACTAATAACAGATAAGATTGTATAACAGTTAACTTGTGTTTTTGTTCATTTTCATATAATGACGACGTTGATCAGTCTTTAGTTTTGGGCCAATCTTCTACCAGCCGTTTTGCACTATTAACTTGTTTCTTTCCTCTTTTTTTTTCTTTTTTAAAAATTAATCATTTAAATTCTGTAATTTTGATCAAATTATAACTCAATTTTAAATTTTATTTTATTATAACTCAATTTTATAGTTTTAATTTAATTGTAACTTAGTTCATAAACTTTGCCACTTGAAATTTAATCCTTATAATTTCAATCATTTAAATATTAATATTTATAATTTAAAAATTAAAATTATAAAGATAAAAAATATTTTAAACTTTTGATATCTATAAAGATTAAAAAGGTTTAATAATTTAAAATATTAGATTTAACATATTTTTAATTTTTCTAATTTTATTGCTACAATTATAAACATTATAAGTTCAAAATATTATAATTTTAATATTTCAATCTTTAAATATTATAAATATTAAACTTTCAAAATTTTTTAATCTTTATAATTTTATTTTTGAACTATAGGAATCAATATTTAAATGATTAAAACTATAAGGATTGAATTATAAGAGATAAATTTTAAAAATTGAGTTACAATTAAATTAAAAGTATGAAGACTAAATTACAATGAGTCAAAATTAAAGATTTAAGTCACAATTAGCTCAAAATTATAAGAATTAAATAATTAATTTTTTTAAATCACAAGGTTATTATTATAATAATAAATACATACTATAAAATTATTATTTTAATATTTAATAAATAAATAAATTTGACTTGTTAAAATTTAACTTGAACAATTCATATATAAATTTTAGTTTGCATAGTTCAAAACTATGTTGAAAAAAATTAGAAATGTAACTAAATTTTTATTTCATTAATTTTGCATAGTTGTCCATAAGGTAATATCATTCAAAATATAATCAGATATTTAATATAGGCATTTCTCTTAACAAGAATTCAAAGGTTGATTCGTTATATTGTAAAAAATTATCTCATTTTACTAGACTCAATATTTAACACCTATTTTAAACTCTTCATGTTATTTTTTTAAGTAAATTTTTAAATTATTCATACTAAAATTATTATTTGAACTATTCAAGTCAAAGTTTAATGAGTTAAATTTATTTATTTATTTATTAAATATTAAATAATAATTTTATAATATTTATTTATTATTATAATAATAACCTTGTGATTTTTTGGGGGGGGGGACAAATCAAGATTGCAAAATGTTGGTGTTTTGGCGCTGAGCACCAACACAGAATCCGTCGTTCGTATTTTATCTGTTGCACGTTTAGACTTTTCTTTGCTCTCTCTCTCTCTCTCTCTCTCTCTCTCTCTCTCTCTCTCTCTCTCTCTCTCTCTCTCTCTCTATATATATATGAGGAAAAGAAAAACAAATTATACAACATTTTGCAATTTATTTTTATGCTAAAAATATGCAAATTGAAAATTAATTAATGAATGAAATAAAATACGAATAATTACAAAAGTCTTCAAAGTGTAATTTATAACTCCAATTCAATAATGGGAAAGTTAATTTGCTAATTTTTAATTTTCATTCAATTTTAAATCAGGTTCCTGTAATCTTAATGAGCCCCTCATACTTCATTCTGCTATGGCAGCTCATCACTATGCTTTTGAAGAAGCAACTGAGCCTCTTCGTCTAAAATCAGCTTGGGTGGCTAACAGCAACTAATTAATGTGAGTGATGTTCTTTCTCCATCTAATTATGTGTGTGTCTATCATTCATTATGTGTGTGTACCATTTATGAAACGTAAGATTTGTCGTATTATATAAAGTTTTGGCTCTATTTACCTCTGTTTTTTAAAATAAAAACAGAGGTGGAATGCCATCTTCTTGATTTCAAGAAGCTATTGTTCTTTAGCTCCGGCAAACATGAGTGAAAGTTGATGAGTAGTGATAATTTTTTCAAACACTATAGTAGAGCTTATGGCTTTGCATACTGATTTAAGCCTCCACAAACAGAGGAATTTGCAAATTTCAAGTATACACAGATTTCCTTTAAGCCATCAACTTAATACGGAGAGGCCCAACACACCCTTTTGCTGAAGAAATCCGCCAACTTATCGTCTTACCTTATTCCTACAAAAGATAAGCAGTAACGATGAAGATTCAGATAAGAGAAATAGTAGGAAAAGAAAAATCTTGCCACATTAGCTGTTAATTAACTTTCATTATTATGCCACATACACGTGTTAAGTATTTATATTTAACGGTGAGGATTAACTCAAACTTTTCAAATTATTATGGGGATTGATTTAACAATTTTTTAAATGATAAGGACTTATTTAAAAGGCATGGTGAATTTTAAAGATCAAGGGATTAATTTTTCCAAAAATATGACAAGAGCATTAAGTGTTGAATTACAAAATCTTTTCAAAGTATTTACAGAGTATTTATAAATTGAAAAATTCTTAAATAGATTGGATATATTATATTATTTGTAGTCTATTTAATTAAAAGATAATATTTAAATTTTGATATTAATGATAATAGAAAGAGAAAAGTTAAGAAATTAAATAAAAATTATATTATAAGAATAAAATCAATCAAAATAGTATCACATAAAATTTTATTTAAATGATTTGGAGTATTTTAATTAGATAAACCACAGATGATATGGTGGACCCGATCTGTTTAAGAATTTTTTCATACTATTAGAAGATAAAAGAAAGTCTCGTATCCAAAGATTAGAAGACAAATCATAAATATATAAACTTAGGAAGTATTTAACCAAATGGCTTAAGCTATTTTGGCAGAGTATACTATCTTTAAACATGCTTAAGATTAGAATTCTAATATAATATCATGAGCCATTTGATCGAAAACAAAAAATGAGGAAAAAAGGAAAAAATATGAAATATGTAACATCCTAGATTTTTAAACTCAATTAATTAGGATTAATAACAGTAATTAGTGAATTGATGAGATGTGTGGCCAAAGATGTCTAATAAGTGTATCTAACTTTGATTTCAGCCCTAAACGCGGATCTGAAGTATGATCAAACCACCTAGGCATCAAAAGCATAGAAAGAGTGAAGAAAAGTCCTCTATGCCACATATTGTGGCATGAGGAACATCTGCGATGGCGCATAGTGGTAATCAGCATAAACTGGGCCTCTTTGTACAATGCATCACAGCGGGAAGTTGAGTGTGTTGCGACGCATGGCCAAAAATTTGTATTAATCAGTTCTTGTCTGTGCATAAAATCAAAAGAAAAGAGAGTTAGAAAATAAAGAACACGAAATTGGCTCTACTACGACACAACATTGAAGCCCATTGAAGATATTTAGAGGCTTCCCAATATACAAAGTGAGTACATAGTGCTTCTTTCTTTCTTTCTCTTCCATTTTTGTGAAGAGTTAAGTTACAGTTTGATTGTTAATGGTAATTTTTGTCCATATGAGCTATAGGTCCAAACCTATTGATTAAAATAGATATAACTAGAGTAGTTTAGAGTATTTAAACCCTATATTAATGATTTTGGGAGTGGTTGGTTCATGAAAGCCATTAACATCCAAATTTAGTAAAAAATGAGGTTGTTAGGAGTGTTTGTGGGCCATTAATGATGGTTTAATGGCTCATTAATGACAATGTAGGTCATTGAAACTTAGTTAACCTATTGGGCATAATGAATCCTTAGATATTTCACTAATGAGTTATAGACTCTATGGGAGCAATCGCTACAGCTAAGTCGTTATAAAAGGAGGAATAAATCACATAAAAAAAAAAAAGATGAACAACAACAAGACCTACCTAAATATTGAAGTTTTTCTCATCTATAGTTTTTAGATTCATCAAATAGTTTTACTTGTAGCTTTACTTTCATCTTTAGATTTGTAACCTTTTATGTTTTGTAATTTTTTAACATTAATCAAACACTTATCATTTCAACTTTTTTATATCTTTTACACCTGGATAAACTATGTTAAAAGAATTCGAGAACCCTTTGTTATCAATTGAGACTTAACATCTCTAGCATGCTTGATAATTTTAATGTTTCTGAAAAACAGAATAAGTTTATATTTTTCAAGCTTCTATTGATCTTAAAAATAGGTTTACATCTACAATTTTAAAAGAAACATTTTCACTTACCCAAACTTATTTCTATTTTTCAAGGAATAAAATTGAAAACCATTCCTTAAATTCTTGTCTTCTTGGACTCAGCGTCCGCATCCCTCCTTCCACGTTCCTCCCACCTTTTATTAAATATAGATTGTTCACATTAAATATTATAATTATAATTATAATTTTATATTTATTAAAATAAAAAAATTATACTTTTTTTCATTTAACTCTAATTAGAAATCTAGAAAATTTAGATTTAATATGAATGATTTGAATTTAATATTAAATTTTGTTTATAATTTTTATAATTGATTATTTAGATATACTTGGATAGTTCAAATTAAAAATTTTTAACTTATAATTTTTTTAAAAAAATATTTTCTAAAAAGTGCATATTAGAATATTATCTTTATTTTTAATATTGTATAATCAAAATAAAATTTATAAAAATTATAAAAAATTAGTATTAAACTTGTACTATCCAAAGTGAATTTGCATAGTCAATTTATAAAATTATAAAAAATTTTAACATTAAATTTAGACCATCAATATTTAATCTGGGCTGTCTAAATTAGTAATATCCCAAATTTTTAATTTTTTAATAATTTAATAAATTTAAAAATAAAATTAAAAATTAAAAACTTTAAATCTGGATATCCAAACGTACAGAGGAGAGTGGGAGGAGGGCCATTCAGCGGCGGAAAGCCAACTCCCCTAACCTTCCCATCTCGTCCCAAAGTTGGCTTAATATAATGTCTCTTTCTCTGTGACACCTCTTGAATGAAAGATGACATGCTCCAATGTGTCCACAGCCACAGAAAAATGGGAAGAAGTTGAGACAAGCCTTGACATGGATTCATAGACAACAAAACACAAATGCACAAGATTTTGCTTCCACCGATCCAAGACAATTCACAAAATACTACAGAAAATGAGGGACAGGCACTGGTGAATCTCAATTAGTCAGCCAAAACCAAACCTGATTTCTGTAGCACAGCAAAATTATCAAGCAAAACTATGTAGCTCATTGGACTAAGCTAGAGTTTTCAATTTTCAAGTGCAGCCTAAAATTCAGTGTCAAAGCAAGAAACCAGGATCTTGGAAACCATGGATCTGGCAAAAGGAATGTAGCTCAAGCTATACCTGTCAATCGCAATGTCAGAAAAGGAAGCATTAATAGTGATTATAACTGGAAAATCTCAGCATATGCTTAAGAATAAAAATGCTGGATTTTCGTGAGGCAGTTAATTTATTTAATCAGTGCAATTGACCCACTCCTAAGACTCATGCTAATGAAACATTCAATTTAAGACAAATAAATGTGACTTTTAAGCAATGTGTTCAAACCACAGATAATGGAAATGTTAATAAGTGTTACGTGCAGGGAATTTTGAAACACTGACATACCAAACTAGGGCTCCAAACTCCAAAATAATGGCCAGAAGTGTCAGTAGCTTGTTATGAGCCTGGTCAACACGTTAAGTACTCAGCAATTAACGGTAAATGATATATTAAAAAACGGGAAACAAATAGAGAATATTGCTACGCGGCCGCTTACATAAAGTGCACAAATCAAAGCAATTATAATGCTTGCCAGGAATACTGCTGTTGCATAAATACGAACAGGATCAAGCATCATTGTCAATTGTCGTTTAGGACCAATGAGGAATGCTGTGCTGCGATGAAATAAAATAAATTACTTAGGATTTTTTTTTCTTTTTCCCCAGTACACTGCTTGGGATTAGAAAAAAGCAGAACACCATAATTTTTGAGACACAAGTCATTTGGTCAATTTTAAGAAGGTAAGCTTCTAGTGAGGAAAATGAAAAAATAACATTTGGCAAACAGTATAATCCCAAAGAACTTAATTTTCACAAAAGAAGACAAGTTGACATGAGCTCAGACAAATCCTTAGGTAGCATAGCACCTCCTCCGATAAATTTTCACTCTACCATGTCCCTAATTTTTTTTTTTTTTTGGATAAATCTACTACCATGTCTCTGTTTACTGATCAATCTACTTAGAGCACAACTCAATGTACAATAACAAAATTGAAGAATAAAAGCCAGAAATTATACACATGAAGTTCACATAATGTTTGAAAACCTTAGAAGAAAAGGAGAGAGTATATCATTTTATATCTATTTTTTTTTTGGCCAGATATCATTTTTTATCAAAGTGAACAAATTAAAAAGATATGAATTAATTAATGCGCTTCAATTCTCCTAGCTGAAATTAGGACAAAGTGGGAAAAATCTCTCTCCCTTTCTTCACACCTTTTATCATCGCTATTATCATTTCTCCAACAATATAAAATCTCATGACTTCAAAAGGAGAGAACTAGGGAAAATCTATAGCCATCCACATTTCCAATCTTGATCATTCAAGCAGCAAGCTACTGGGGAGTAGGATGAGGGTGAACAGAAGAATCAAAAGCAGTGCATACCTTCCAAGTGAAAGCAAATTACCAAGAGTGAATGTTATCCCAAACTTGACTGGATTGAGGAAAACAAGCATTGACTGTGAGATGGAAAAAATAGTATTAGTAACTCTTAACATACTTTACATTCAGGTTGAAACAGCAGCTTTCATAGGTCCAGATTTTGAGAAATTTAATGAAATAAGTTGCATTACCATGAGAGTTAAATGTCAAATATGGGAATCCATTTATGTGATTTTTTTTTTCCCATCAGTATTTCATCATAAATAAGCAATTAACAAATATGAATTAGAATTAAAATTTAAGAGGATAAAGATTACTTTTTGTGCCTGTATATAACAGTCACTTTGTCCAGTATAGAGAAAATAATTATTGGAGTTAGTACAAGTCAGATCTCACAAATAAGTTTTGATTGTGAGCAGAAAGAGCATTTCAGAAATCAATATTGAATATAAAAGATAAAAACTCAAACAAGTTGCACTATTCATAAACCATAAACAGGGCAACTCATTTATCATTAATCATACTTCGTGTCAGGACCCACATCTAGTTAGAGTACATAGTGGCTCCAGGTTCTATAAAATGACACTCAAAATTTGGAGATCGCGGAGATAATTACAAGCTTTAGACTTTCTGAACGTAAATTTGATAGATAAGTTAAAAATGGAGAAACGAAAAGCCCTATCATGACACTGAACCTGCTATTGTAGTTTGGAATTATCCTCCAATTTATGATGTTTTTCTACATGGAACACATTTCAAAACCAATAAACTCAAGGACAATTTCCTTGAGTTTTGATGATCAGTTATCTTCCTATGTGGAGGAAAACTTAAGTGTGAGAGAAAGTAAATCATTTATAGTTACATATAGGATATTTTACCCTTTCACACGTCCATCAATTAGAGTATTATTTATGTCCATGAAAGATCCTGATGTGTAAAAACGAGGAATGAAATTTTAGTATTGAATATTATTCTGATTTCCAAGGATTGAATTTGGGCAATTACAAAAAAGTCTGTCGTATTAGAGAGTACGAAAGGAAGGATTCTCCAACTAAAAATACAATAATCGACCTCAGAGATAAATAAAGCTTGGTCTACCAGTTCCCCCCATTGCACACACAAGCGTAATGCGTACGTAAAAGCATCGGGTAAACTTACCAATAGTGTGCAAGTTAAACCAGCAACAAAGCATATGACGAAACCATGCAATCTCTGTTTGGTAAAAAAGACATGATTAGTGAAACTGGGAAAAACGTTCTTCTGATGGAAATTTGTTGAATGAATCAAACAAATATTTTAAATTTAGGATGATAAACGAAATATGCGTACTGAAATAAACTTGAGGATGTTGATGTACAGTGTAAAATCCAAGATTAAGGGGCAAGCAACAAGGAAAGATCAGATGAAAAAAATAACAGCTAAAACCAATAGAGTCAATCAACTACTTGAGTGGATTCCATGGCAAAGGATCATGCACATTTGAAAAAAAAAATAATTGGAAAAAAGAAATTAAAAAAAAAAATCAGCTCCATTCCAAGACATCTCCCAACATTAACAATATAGATCATGTAACGCGTTGGTTCTATTATGTAGCTTCTAAGTTCTAATCGACCAATTAAATTACCAGAATATAATAAGAGGTCATGGAATGACAAAATATCACAACCCTTCAGAACAACCTATTTAGAGAAGAAGAAAATATGGTATATTTGAAGGTAGATATCCACTGTGTCTAGACTGTACCCACAGCAGCCCAAAAACATGGTTGCTTTTAAGACACTACCAGTTGCTGCTTAGATTTAAACTCAAGAGGACCAAACAAGTTGAAGTTTGCCATAACACAGTTAGCACATGAACCTCTAGAGTCTGATTTATTTATTTTTCAACTTTTCTTTCTTTATAGAGATTAATTGTAAACTTGAGTTATGGAGGAGGTCATTGGAGCTGAGATCGAATATTCATTGCAATTCTAATAAGAGATCAGTCAGTAGAAATTTGAAAGTGAGATTGAAAAATTAAATTATACTTCAAGTAGAAAAGTTAAGATATTTGGAAGCTAGCATTCAATATGATGAGAAAATTGATGGAAATATTGTACATAAGATACAAGTTAGGTGGTTTAATTAAAGAAAAGCTAAAGGAGTTATGTGTGATTGAAACGTACTTCATAAACTTAAAGGAAAGTTTTATCGAACTATTATAAGACCAGTTATATTATATGGTAGTAAATATTGGGTTCTAAAAGGACAATAGGAGCATAAAGTTGGAGGAGCAAATATGAGAATATTGAAATGGATGTGTGGGCATATGCAAAAATATAAAATCCTAAATGAGCATATATGAAAAAAATATAGGCGTGGTATCTATTAAGGGAAAAATGGTAAAAAATCGGTTGAGATGATTTGGACATATACAGAGAAAGCCATGGGAGTACCAATGAGGAAAATGGAACAGATAATCGTGAGTCCTATAAAGAAGGGTAGAGGAAGACTAAAGAGAACACTTATGAAAGTTGTTGAATGAAACCTCTTAGTTAACAACATTCCCAAAAACTTGGTTGATAATAGAGCATAATAGCGTTGTGTAATTCATGTAGCCAAACCCATCTAGTGGGATAAAACTTCTTCTTGTTGTTTCTTTATGCAAGTTAGAACTTTGAATCGAAGTGAATAACTCAATATAATACCCACCAAACCTAACATACAGCCCCAATGATGACAAAGGAAATTCTTAGAAACCAATTTGAAAAAAGAGAGCAAAATAAACTATGTAGTACTTATGTACATTATTTCAAAACATATCACAGCTCAATAAAAGAGAAAAGTCATCACATAATATTTTAATTAAACAGGGTACCCCCCCCCCCAAAACCCCACCACACACACACATCCACATTTTAGGGGGAAAGATTTGGAGGAGTTTCCAGGCCTCTCAATCCATCTCCATCCTACATTTAAAATCTTTCCAAACAGACTATTTGTTTCTTACTTCCACTCCATCCTACCTTTAAAATGTTTCCAAACAGACTATTTGTTTCTTACTTCCACTCCACTCCGTCCCCTTTATCCCATTGGCCCTAACCTGTCTCAAATATTTAATTTTCTCACTTCAAAAACTAGGGATCCTTTAGGGGGCATTTAATCACTGTCATTTTTTAAAATATAAATATTATTTCTTTGTCACTCAAATCTAATTAATCATCTCAAGGAGCTTATTTTTAATTTGTCTCTTCTATGCATATTAACAATCCATTTTGTTGAAAATACAACAGCCTTTTGTTAATTAAGTTAATGAATAAAAATTAGCTGCATGTTTTCTTTCTCTATTTTTAATAAATGATAGAGCACAATGGCGTCTTGCAATCCATGTAGCCGACCCCACTTAGTGGGATAAAGGCTTGTTGTTGTTGTTTGTTGTTTTCTTTCTCTATTTGCACATCAAAGGCCATATTGCAATAATCAGTAGGCAATTATGATTTTATCTTCCAACAAGATTCATTTCTATTCTTTAATGCACCTGACCCAAACAGATTCAAGAAAATATTGATTCTCAGAAACTATTTAATATGGAACTAGCATGTTAACCAACATTTTCTGAGTGTAGCTGGACTTACATAGTTACACATCAACATTCTTCTATAACATAAATTCATTTTAAGGAACTATCTCTCAGTCACCAGTAGTTAGCTCAGTAAGACAGTTCACAGCCATTCCTAGACTCGTAAAAAGAAGATGATTATCCACTTCATCCAATTCCTGTCACTTTTCCACAAACATTTCTACAGCATTCAAATCAATCCCGGAAGCTTTCCTTCTCGTTTAGGGCATACAACTATTATTTAAATCTGAATGCCAGAGGGTACGGATCCCCATGTGAGATCCAAAGCCAAAACCTTTAGCTTGCTCAAGCAGCAAATTTTTTTAGGTCCACTCAGGTCAAGAATCTATTATCTAACCCCCAGCTCAATGCTGCAGACACTGGCCGAGCAAAAATATCCAAAATTTTGGGCTCACTAAGTTAATTAAGTTGAAAGCTAAATTGTCCAAACATAACTACTGCGGATCAGATATCAAGTTCAAGTGGTTTTCAATCCGAGTTTTCAGTAAAGCATACGTCCAACTGAGCCAACTGAATGGTCACACTAATTTTGAATAAAATGTTCCCGCATCCACCATCGAATTTACGACAAGAACAAAAAGCATGTAAACTAATTGAAACGCAGTAAGAAGTAATAGATGCATTTCTTCTCCTTGCAACATCTTCTCCCTCACCAAAAAAAACTATATAGTTGATCGAAATTGAAACCCAAAACCCAAAAAATAAAAAAAACAAAAAAAAAAACCTGTTCGGTGGACAAAGTGCAGTTTCGGTTGAATTCATCCATGAAGGCGAATGAATTGCCCTCCTCTAATGCTGGAGCTCGCTGTTCGTCATCTTCCACATCCATTCCCACCACTAACTTGACTTTCTCGATGGCCTTCTGCATCTTCTCCATTGTTTTCTCACACTTTCTCGGGAAATTGGAGAACCAGTGGATCTGTAGGAATTACGGTAACAAAAATTGCTTCAAATTTCAGGAACAATTTGGATTTGGACAACGTCCCAACTTCACTGTGAGTCTGAACAAACGCAATAGAATGGTGACAGGTCCTTGTATATCTGCTAATTGTTAATCCTTCCTTCAGTTTTAAGCTTGAGTCTGCATCCTTTTCAGACGATTCGGTCCCCAATAAAATTAAATTAAATTAAAAACCGTGAGATACTGAGATGTAAAATAAAGTTTATTTTAAAATTTTAAATTCAACTTCGAAATAAATAAAAAAAAATGTGATAAGTAATATTCATAATTTTTTTTCTCACAATCTTTCATTGTAGAAATGAATATATAAATATATATATATATATATATAGGAATTCTTAGGATAAAAAAAAATATTTAAAGGTTCCCGACATTTATCATTTGGTGAAGGGTTTAAAACTTTTATTGAAACATTTCAAAGCTATATTCTATTTCCTTAAAAGGATTGTAACTTAATCTTTCATATTTTACTAAAAATATTCTAGATTTTCTATATTTTTTTAAAAGAAAAAATCTTTTTTCAGATTGAAATGGAAATAGTATTCATATATAGCAAAAGAATAAAATTTTCACATCTTGCTTTGAAACATATATGAGCATGAAATAGGGATTAAATGAAATAAAATTAACTGGGTGGTAGAGTCATAAAAAATTCTTTTTTCTTATTTTCTTCCATATTTTTAATTTTAGCTCCATGACACAATATGATGATGTGGAATACGAAAACATGAAAGAATTGAAATTTTAAATTAAAACATTTTAGTAATTTTGGAAGGTATGACTGGGAGTAGTAATTTTAAAAGTACAAGTGATAACTTTGAAATCTCAATTTTTTAATATTTTAAAAAAGATTAATACTCACCCCAATCGTTTTTGTTGTGCACTTTTTAAAAGTAATTTTTAATTTAAAATATAGAATACTTTATAATAATTAAATTAATTTTTTTAATTTTATTCTTCTTGATTAACATGAATATTTTTAATGTAATTGTATCATTATTTAAAATTAATGATAAAAATAAAAGTATATATCATTTTCTATAATATCAAAAAAAATATTTTTTTAATATGCTTGAAACAATTAAAAATATTTTATAATAAAGACCAGATGTAGTAGCTTGTAAGAATTCTTAAATTCTTTATCCCAAAAAAAAAAAAAACCACACTAAATTATGATAATTGAAAATACTAATAAATTGAGCTTGTGTTGATTCACGTCAGGTCTAGGGAGTTTGTTGGTCCAATTGAACATCAACTCAACATTAATTTTTTTTTTTTTTTGAAGTTGTTTTTCTTTAAAAAGACTGACCCAATAAAATGTCCTGATATTTAATCAAGTCATGTTTTTTTAATAAAAAGTCACAGAAAAATCCATGCAAAATGATGACAAATTAAATCATGTTAGAATACAAAAAATTTCTATGCTCGTTGGGTGAAAAATCAAAGATCTTGATGTCTAAGTTATTATAAGAAAACTGATGTACAAGCCAATCAACATACTTATTAGCTTCTCTAAAAATGTGATTAAATATAATTATTTAATTTCTTATGATGAATTCCTTGATTATTATTATTATTTTTTGATAATTTCAATGAGAAGATGGATATTTGAGAATTCATGCTGGATGAACATAAGAGCTTCAAGAGAATCAAAATAAATGTTAATGTTATCAAACTTATCATTCCAATAAATTTTGATTCTTTCAAAAATACTTATTAGTTCTGCAGCACTAATGGGGTTAATCAAGTCATGTTGAGTCGTTATCAAGAACGTGAAGATTATATAAATTGTCATGGGCTTGCATAAGAATGAATTTCTGAAGCCCAGTGAGAGAAAGTTGGACCTCATTCAAAACTTAGCCCATTTGCACTCTTTTGTTAAGAGTTTTAGGGTTAGCTTTCGGCCTAATCCCTATACATATATGTTGGAAAGCTTTGTTGCTAATTATGTGATAATGACTAATCATATGTAAACAGAATATTCATATATAAACCACAAAAAATCAAACAAAACAGAGCTATTAAAGCTCAAATTTGATGAGCTGCTATTTTTTTCTTCTTTTCAAGCAAAACAATGTCATATTAAGCTCAATAAGAGGCGGAAAAAGAACATAAAATCTAACCTGGCTAACCTGTTCAAAATTCTTGATTAGTTTGGCCAGAAAATTGATTCACCAATTCACTTATGTAACTGGTAAATTCGAGTTGAGTTTTAATGTCATGCTATAATCTGACCCCTTTTCTTCACTTTAGTCATTAGTTAATTATTGGGACACACAATTAGTTAATTATTGAGACACAAAATTAGTTAATTATTGAGACACACAAATCAATTCAAATTTTGGATAGTAATTAAGGGAGGCCACCCCACAATTTGTATTTTTTTTCATCATCATGGATAATTCTAGGTTCTAAAACTCACACGAGGGATGTTTAGTAATATTACATTCAATTTAATTGCACTTTGAACCATTGGCAAGTTTATATTATTTATATATGTATATATAGACACACTCACACACACACACACCCACACACACACACACATTAAACCGATAAGTCTCCATCTATATATATATATATATATATATTCATTCTATCCACTTACAATAACTTGTATTATTTATTATCAAAATCCGTGGACAACCGCTTTACTTTTCACAAGCACTTTTTATCATACTTCATGAGTTCATGAGAAATAATTTTTGCTGTCTCGACAAGAACCTTTTGTTCCCATTAATTCCGTCTTTAAGTTTTAGAACCTTTTACACACACACATACACACACAAACGCCCTGATAATGACACTACCATAAACTTTTTTACAGTAATATATATATACATATATATTATTGTTGACAGGTTTATATATAAATAGATTGATTAATTACTTTCATATAATATTACACTAAAAGAAATTAGAACACTCGCGATCTTCTTCCTCTGTTATTTGCCAATAGAATTCGGATATCCGTTCCCATACTTTATAGCGCTTGATTTTGTTCGAATACATCCCACTTTGCTACCAAAAAATAAAAAAGGAAATTCTAACTTAGTGCAACCCACTCTCATGCAATTATTAAAATATGATCAAACCGTCAAGTAATATATGCCATCATGCACGTACTAAGTACAATTCAAAGTGTCCAGACATAACCATGGAAGCCTAGAAAAGATCAGTTGATTTTCCGACAGTTCTCACGAACTTCTCCGTCATCTTTGACATCAAGCAAGCTCATTTTGACCATGGCCTGCTGGAAATCAAAGAAGAACATGGCCTGGTTCAGTGCATAGCCATTAACGAAGTTCCTGGTTGTGGGGTTGCTGTACAGTGTTTGGTCGGACGTAAGAACCCCATTCTTCCTCAACAGAGCATTATAGTACAGGTTGTCGAAGTCGTTCCTCGTGGGGTCGAACGGCTGCTCCGAGTTGTCTCCGCCGCGGCATGTCTTCGATAATGTCTTTGCGAACTCCGAATCCAATGCCGGATCAGCCTTGTTCAGTCGGTTTTTGAACGACGAACATCTTGCCACTCCTAGAGTATGTCCTCCTGCATGCACACACCAATCATGGTATCACACATGTTTAAAATTTGCTTGTCTTTCAGTTTTGTTGGGCGCTTATGGGCCACATAAAAAACAAAACAGTTTTGTCAACTTTGATTAGTTCCTAGTTGCCGTCATCTTAGCTGTAAATATTTTTTTAAGAAAAATTAATGACTTCATCCTTATAATTTTAATTCAATTATATATAATTCAATTCATAAATTTTGACTCATTATAAATTAATCAATATATTTTGAGTTAGTTAAAATTTTATTCCTAAACTTTAACTCAATACAATTCAATTTTTATAATTTTGGTTATTTAAAACATTACTCCTTAACTTTTAAAGAAATGATTTTAGTTATTTAGATAGTTAAAGTTATAGTACTGAATTACGTTAAATTAAAGTTTAAGAATTGAATTATAATTAAATCAAAATTTAATAACGGATCATTACTGAGTCAAAATATAAACATTAAGTTGCACCATCTAGTCAAAACTATAAAATCATTACTTTTGTCTATTCATTTATTTTCTTTTTTGATAAAATTAAGATTACTATGCGCTGAGATTTTTTTTTTTTTTTGAAAAAATCCTACTAAAAAAAAAATTACAGACGCACGTATCACTTTTGAGTTATATTCTTGAAACGTAACCAAGTCGAGCTTCATGGTTGAATACAGAGTTTGAATATAATGTCATAAACTTGATTGAAATTTGATTTGTAATAAAGTTTATATTTTATAATATTATATATTTATATACACATACATACCAGAGAGAGCAACCATCTGTTGAGCAGTAAAGCCATGCTGGGCAAACATCCTGATGAGCTGGGAAGCATTAAGGGTTGGGGCTGGCAGATTGATTGTGTCTTCAATTCTTGATCTTCTTCCATCTTTTCTTCCTTTTGGTATGTCATATACTGGTCCTCCAGCCTGCTTATACCCATACATACATGCATGTGGTTGATCGATGATCTTACTTACGTACGTACATACATACATATAAAACCAACAAAAATTATAAGAAGACTAGCTAACAAGCTAGGTTGATGATGAACTTACAAAGAAAACAGCGTCTCTAGCAGCCATTGCAAGAATGTCAGCACATGAAACGACTCCAGGACATTGTTGTTCAACCTGTTCTTTGATATCGTCTATGATCTCATACCCTCTCAAGCTCAGATTCGCTGGTGAATCTTTTTCTGCTGTGTTTCCTTTTGTTGAATCGATCAGAACCGATCCATCACATCCCTGCCACGTTCATTGCCCCAATAATAATCAGTTACATTTAATTTAAGGTATCAGCATTTACATCACAATAATATATACCATATGATTAGAATAATTGTTCAATTACACTGCGTTAAATAATTATTTTATTATACGATAGTAGTTAGGCTACCAGAATAATTTAGGAGGGAGAAGTTATAATTTTGTTATTCAAAATGATCTAACTGCCTAAAATACTAATAGTGAAATATGGATGTGATTTCACCATTGCAAGGCACAATAATCTGTGGTAAGGATTCTCGTCCCTCAAGCAAGTGATTAGGGTTCTAATCTCAGCCATTAACCCTCTGCTTTCCTCACCCTCTCTCTCTGTGGGGTATATATGGTGTATATATACTATGAAACAAAATCCCAAGTTTGTCACTGTAACTTGGGATTGGCCTGTGAGAAAGAAGAGAAGTTTCTTTCGTCACCAAAGATATGTTTGTGGACTCTAATATCCTACAATAATGATACTTGATATTGAATTAGAAAAGGGCAAGAAATTAAAGAGAGAACCTGGATGAAGCAATCATGGAAGTGCATTCTAAGAAGAGCAGCAGCAAGAGTGGGATCATTCTGCAGAGCTCTGTTTACAGTGTCCTTAACAATTGGTTCAACGAAGGGACAGCTCGCCAAGTAGTAATTCATATCCAAACCATCTGCTCCAATAATAATAAATCTCACACCACTCATTATCACTATCATCACCAACACTCTTACCAAGTTCGCCATAGCAGAACAAGTTTTTTCGTGCAACATACCTGAAACCCAAAGCCACAGTTATATATATATATATATATATATAGTAGTGGATGAAGACATAATGAGAATGATCGTATGAAGTTTCGTTATACACGAGGTAGGTCCAGGAATAAAGGGAGTGAATATAGTGGGAGAAAGTTGGCAGAGCAATATATATATTTATCAGTATACATAAATTATGGTAATGATTATTGAAACTGGGTCGGCTAGTCTATACTGTATATCAGACTAGACATGGAAAAGTTGAAGATAGTGTAGGTTCTTATCATTCTTCTCTTCATGCTATGCCTATCATCATCATTATTGGATCCATCTATATGTCAATTTGTGTGTGTGTAGATTATTTATATAATGAACCCATGTAATGTAAATGCATGTTGGTTGCACCCAAGTTGACAGTTGATGGCACGTAAGGAAATTTCACCTTCAGTCACTCTAGCATGAAGATCCATGACGACACGCATAGTCCATAGATGATATATTAATATATAGGTGGACTTTGAAACTAATCACAATAATAAAATGATCAGTTGGGAAAATGACGAGCAGTAAACTTTATTAGTGCCATACAATGCTGCTATGTATACCTTCCTCTCATTGTGTTTAATTATAGTTATCCCCTATTCATGTTAAAAGTAGATAATTATTTTTCTTTTCCAAGCACTGAGCATGAACCTCATACTAGCAAATATTATCTTCTCTTAGAGTTCATTGCCTCTAAATTGTTTCTGAACTGTTTAAATCTAATTTAAATAGTCTAGATTTATAATTTTTTTACTTTTATTTTTTTAAAAAAATTATTTTAATGAATACAGAATTTAAAATAAAGACAATTACTTAACTGTTATTTTTTAAAAATAATAATTTTTTATTTAAAAAACATCCGTTAAAAAACTGTAAATTTAGACTGTGAAAATTCAATTTAAACCATTCAAAGGCAATGAGCGCTCTCAGTGCTCATCTAATTCCTTTAAATAAGTTGTTATACCATGAGGTAAAAGATTCGAACTCCAAACTATTTGCTCAGATAAAGAAAGCCTATGCACACCAACTTGAGTTGATAAATATATTACTTATTGAAAACAATAGACGAGTAGTAAAATTTAATTATATTATATACTTCCTCCGTTTAAAAAATATAAGACATTTTTAACCGAATATTACCTCCCGACAAAATAGTTACCTGCTTTTAAACTAACATTCTCTTTTTATATTTATCATTATTAAACACCTTATAACAAATATAAAGTCACTATCAATAGGGATATTTTTAAAAAAATAATTATTATTATACTTTAAAAGACTAAAAATGCCTTATAATTTTAAATATTTTAACTTTTTAAAAAATTTATAACGGAGAGAGTGTGTGTGTTTCAATCCTTTGTTGAAGATTTTGTGGTTACATTGAATGAAAATTGGTCTATCGATAAGAATTTATTTCAGTCATGCTACCGAGGTGAAAAGTCAAGTATATTAATTAATGGATGATCATAAGGGCTTAGTAAGGTTTTTTTGGTTAAAAAAATTTTAGATAAATTAAGTATCGAGCTCACTAACACTAGGATATGTTTTCAAACTCAAAGAAAATTATAAAAGTATATACAAATTGCTTATCAATAAAAAATTTATATTGATAGCAAGATTTAAACGTACAATATAAAGTTAATTTAGATGTTGATAAGTTATTGAGATCTAGCTCATTTGTTTTTTTCTTTAAATAAAAATTTGGGTGTCAGTTTATGTAAATTATTTTAGTGACTCAAGCTTTAGATAACTTTGATATATTGCTGTTGCAATAAAAAAAAAAATAATAACGGTGAGTACAGTTTGACATCCTATTCCATTCCAATATTATAAATTTGGGATGCAAGTAACAAGCGTTTGAATTCACAGGGCCAAAATAGAGAATACTAGAAATTGAAATTCAATCCATGAATACAAAAGCACAAACTTTATATGTAGCTTAGCATTTATTAGTTCAACATCATCCCATGCATTATTCTGGTCATTCCACTTGATGATGGTTTGTCTTCACCATTAGACTTTTGCAGGAATGGAATCTAATACAAGTCAAACTCAAGTGGAGTGGTTGTGTGGAATGAGCCCCATGGAAGAGCAAGCTAGCTGGCCTGCATATCAGAGAGAGAGAGAGAGAGAGAGAGAGAGAGAGAGAGAGAGAGAGAGAGAGAGAGAGAGAGAGAGAGAGAGAGAGAGAGAGAGAGAGAGCAATAAAGCACCAAATTTGAGTGCTACATACACTTCTTTGATTCTTTTTATAAGGTAGAGAGAGAAGAAAAAATTTAATCTTATTTATCAATTTTCAATACTTATCTTTACATTTTTGCCCTTATTAAATGTTTTAAATAAAAATATCAATAATAAAATTTAAAAATATTTATTAAAAGAAAAGGTGAAAACTTATTAAAGTTTAATACAAAGTTAATGAGGTATAACATTTTTTTTAATTCTGGTGAAACGTATTAGAAATAGCTTATAAATAAAAATAAAAGAAAAAAAATCTTTACATGGAGAAAAAGGTATACAAGTCCCACATAGACATAAAGGCATGAACTAATTATTCAACACGCCCCAATAGTTGATTAAGCAAAGTGCTGCGAACGCGTCTATAGCATTAGTGGCGTCGTATTACGTACTCATCCATATGGGTGCATGCAGGAGCACATAATTTGCTTCCTCACTTCATCACCACAGCAGATAAGCCTGCAAACGTGACACGGGGCGGCAAAAAATGGTGCTATCAAGTTTTTTTAAAAAAAAAATAATTATATTTATATTTGTGTTTTGTTATTACACAGTCACAACACACTACTAGAAAATGGAAAGCATGCTCCAAACAAGTAGCTTTCGGTATATATTCAACGCCAATCCCACGCGAGGCAAAACAATTATTGTTTACATGGATTGGATTTTCTTCCACGTGCCTCCCTCCTGGGCTCCTTTCTGCACTCCTATGAGCAGATAGATTTTAAAAAAAAAAAAAAACAGAGAGAAGAAACAAAAACCTGCTAATGTGAGTGCAGGCAAGGAAGACCAGAATGAAATCACCAGAAGACAAATCTTGTTTACATGATGTGGCTGTGCATGCCATGAAAAAAGAATATTGATTAAAAATAGAGTGCAACTGCATAGGCGTACACTTTATGAGTGCAAGCTTGTGGTGGTATGGTAAGATACATATGAGCACTGATTGCATTGGTTTAATTACAGATTATACGGATGACCTGGTTCACGTTGAGCGGACATGGTTTCTGTCATACGTGGTCGCCTTGCTCCTCTTAATATCAAGGCCTTGAATAAGATACATAATTTTTCGTTTGGCACAGACAGAAAACAACGGGGTTAAAAATATATATATATATATATATAAACTAAAAAAAAATGAGGACATTTTTCACTCTTGCTTTCCCCCTAAATTTCCTTCTAGAGAGGGGGGAAAAATTAAACAAAAAACTTTATACTAAAAAAGATAATTTCTTTTTTCTTGTTCCGCCTTTCTCTCCTAATTTTCTTTCTTATTTTCCTTCCCTTAATTTCCTCTCTTTCCTGTTCTCCTTCCATTACAAACAGAAGTTAAGACATTCACCCTACGATTAAGAAATGAAGGTAATACTAGAACAAGCCCATACAGAAATGACTGAACTGCACTATCCATGGGATTGTTAGTTTTGATACCATACATAGATAATATCCAGAAGTCATCGTCAGTCTAGTTAGACATATTTACAAAAGACGAAGGCAGCATTCTGTTATGTACAAGTTCTGTTTTGCTTTTCAGGCCACCTCAAACTACACACTACACAGAAATAAAAACATTTACACACTTGGAGTCGGTGCCTCAACGAACATCAGATGGCACTAGCAAGCTGTTCTCAAAGCAATTCTTGGCAATATCAATCACAATCTCATCCTCGCAGGGTCCATTAGATTTGGGCTTGGGGTCAGAGTTCTGGCATCTTGGACAAACAAACTGTGCGGGCACGGGATCTGCATCGTGAATGCCAGAACACCTTGTGTGTCTCCACACTCCACATATATCACAAGCCAACATTCTCTCTCCATCGTCGTCCTTGGCCCCGCAGCTGCATTCCACGGTCCACCTCTCGATGCCCCGTTCCATTTGGAATTTGCTCAACCCATTCTTGCCGTTGCATCTTCCTCGCAGCCGGACTGCTTGGATCATGGAACCTGACAATTGCTGGACCAAGGAGGAATCCTCAACACTATAGCCAAGAAGCTCCTCGATTTGAAGTCTTCTGAACATGACATAAACATCTTGGAAAGCATTTGCTGCTTCAACCTTGAGGTCAGCTACGGTGGCATTTCCAGGGAGGATCACTAACTCTGGTGGGAGGTGAGCAGCAAAATCATCAGATTCATCTTCTAGCTCTAATTGACATGAGAGGCGTATCTTAGACAGGTTTGACAGCGGCATCATCTCGGGTTTATAGTCCTTGACAAACTGCTTGCAGTCAAGAAGTTTCTGAGCAGAGCTCATGGCAATTACCCTTGTCTCCTCTGGATCATAGTTCAACATCGTCTGAGGATTAAGAATGGAATTATAAAAGTATCTCAGGTCGTGTAGAAGAGTCACTTCAGATGGATTCTTTAAGCCCGAAGAAATATTGGTTGCAAATCCATAGCGAGAATTGTCCCCCGCCTCTAGTCTGCAACAAATAAGAGTTCATGGAATATTAATGCAGCAAAATATGCATTAGAAAAATCTACATACAAAGGAAGGAAGGAAGCCATTAGAGGATCTTCCAAATAAACACAAATCAATATATCAAGGTTCAGCAACTCAGTACTGAAGAATGTTAATTGGACTTCTAGTCCCACGCATGATAATTCAAAGAACTTCATGAATTTCTTTGCCAGTATATTATCACAACTGCTCAAGGCATGACCAACTTTTGAGTGGTTTAATTCTTAATCTCATGGATCAATATACTATAAAAATCAGAAAGAGATCAAACCTGTACTCAAAAGCACCAGTAACAGGATTGCATCGGGTATTCACTGTTGCACCAAGGACCACTTTTCCTCCCAATTCTCCAAGACAGTAATCAAGCAGCTCCGGGGAGGCCACCTTGCAGACAGCACCCCTTAGAGCTCGCCAGCTCACCCAATTGGACCCAGACACAGCTCGAAGCACTCTCAACATGGCTTCCTCCACACATTCAATGTCACTCTTAGTCCATGAAGAAGACACTCCAGTAACATTCAGGCGTCGCTTCTTGCAGGTGATGTCATCAATATTTGATGCAGCAGTCTTACGAGCATCATGAATCAAATCCATTAAAAAACACAAGAAGCCCCTTATATTTACAAGCTCTTTCTTTGACAAAGACTGGTAATATGAGATCATGCCTTGTACACGTGAGTCACATTTCTGCCCTTGGGCAAGAAAGGTGGACAAGGGCAGATTGGACAGGAATTCAACAGCAGACTTATATGATTCATGGGTAAGACCGTAGCTACCAGAACCAAACTGATAACCCCAATCACCATACCAAGGATGTCCTTTCGTAATAGCATTGAGTAGACGGTACTCCACCCCAAACTTCTTTGACACATCCATCACGCTAACTTTTCTGCTCATATAGACATGTGAAAACAATTGAGCATTGAACTCAAATTAAATAGTGAAACAAAGAAATTCTCCTATTTCCCAAGGCAAAGGTATTTTCAGATGGCCAAAGCCCCAAGAGTTAATCAATGCAAGTCCACTGTTCTATCTCTAATCTTAAGAAACCCCACACCCCATGACGCCAGGGGAGAAAATCTAAATAGAATATGTGAATTCTGAAGTAACCATGTATTCAACTTTTAACAATCATGTAGTAGTAAACAAGGAAGCTGCAATCAAAATCAAGCAACCTAACCTAACTCCAAGTGTCTTGCAGAGGCGATCCCAGAAGTCCATGATATGGCACCCAGAAAGAAATTTGGAACCACCTTCTCTACCATTAACTCGAAGTAGGTGCCCATGACCGTTAGCATGGACTACCCCATGCAAAAGATGAGTTGTGCTTTCTAATTGGTGATAGACCCAGTCTTCAACATCATCCGTGGTTGTCACATGGTTGCAAGACTTGCACCTGAGCATAAAAAGCATGCATCATATAAGCAAAAAGTGCCATTATGCTCCATGGGCATTCAAGAGCTAGTAAGTTAATGTAAAAATAGCTAAGGCTCACAATGCCAAATGCAAATGGGTACAGAGACCACCAAACCATAAACATATTAATAAAGTAGAATGAATTATATGGAATGGGACTATAATGATTCAGAAAAAATAATCAATGATACAAGTGATAATCATTATAAAGACAGCTCCAGAGTCCAGACTAGCACAACAGCCTGGTTCAGGAAACACTTCACACAGCCCTAATAATCATTCAGATTCTTTAAAAGGTCTCTGGGATAAGGGTGAGAGCAAGGCTGTATGATCACTTTGCTGATAGTCTAATATAACATCCAATCGCACCATCACGCATTGTGAACACAAGATTAAATCAAACATGAAGCTTGGGCAGGCTTAAGCTCAAGTTAGTGAAAAATATTTCAAGCTTCAAACTTAATTAGCTTGACTTAATTTATAAAGGTCAATCAACTGTCATGTGATACAACAAATACCAGGCTTCATTAAAAAATGAACTAAAATTACATATATAAAAATCTAATTCATCTGCATAAATACCAAATACTAAGTGAGTCTTTATGCATGATCATTGATCACATTCTATACAATCAAGTTCCCATCAAAAAGAGCCTCACAAATAGTTTCATTAGACCGCCACTATTGCACAAGAGGACAAGTCATCAGTTTTCAGTACTTCACAACCCAATTGTTTTGTGGACTCTGAAACAACACATTCCAAGTTTGGCTCTATCTAGAAGTGAGCTTTCTTTTTTCCTTTGATCAACTACTTTAACGTGAGTTTAACAGACAAGAAATGTACCTCAAATATTAAAAAACAACATTCACATAAAAGAAGTATTTGTGTTAGCTCAAATGTACATATGCTAGCAAATAATTCAGTCAGACGAATAGAATCACACTATAGGCAACTCCTTTTCTCAAACAAATCCAAAAATTTCATGCTATCGGACATGTTGGGACAAATCAAAGCATGCAAAATTAATTACAATATCGTTCAGAACCTAATTCAATAAATAATATTTCAATACGATTGAGTGACCACTTTGATTGCCAAAGGCAGAAGATTTTCTTTCACTTGCACTTGATTGACAATCACTCGTCATTATGTATTAAATTTAAAGATATCGCATGCAAAGTATTGGCAGTATCATGACAACAAGTCCTCATGAAAGTATCCAACCGATAATTTCAACTATGGTTACCTCATAGCAATATTGCATTCCACTTATCCCCATCTATAAACATTTAAGTTATGACAAGCAATTGAAACAAATAAAAATCCGAATGATGACAAATTTTGACAATCTAACATGATCAGAGTGTGTCCTTGTGCATTGAAAAACAAAAATCAGATCCAAAGTAACTCACTTGGATTCTGACAAGTGCAAGATGTCTCCACAGCACATACATGGCTTGTGGTACCCGCCAATGGAAGTACCATCAGCCTTGATTATAAAATGGTAACGTTTTGCGCACACTGGATGGCCACTCCAACCTTCATATCATATTTCAAGGTTAAAATCAGAAAAACGAACGGGACACAAATTTCATCATGCAGTAAAAAGTGATGATAGATCTTCACTTCAAGGGAAGGAAAAAAAGGGGAAGGAAAAAGTTAAAAATAAATTCAAAATAATAAAATCGCGGAAAGCGTGGCTTAAAAACAAAGATATACGCTACCACGTTACGACATCCTCAGTCTATATTGAGCTGCTGCGAGAGGAAAAAAAAAAAGACTTAGGACACAACATAATAGCTGTCACGCAACAATGACAGCCAAGAAATGCCCGCTAAGAGGTAGACCTACAGGTGGCATAATCCTATCCACGTGTAGAGAAGGAATAAATCCAACACACCGTCCCTCTCTTAATGGGCCCCACCCATCCACAATGGAGAAAGCGTTTCGTGATCATCAACCCGCCCGATTTTTTGTATTTTGTCACATTGAGTTGACGATAACTTAAGTTACTATCAGGAGTAGACGGCTATGTTTGGCCACAATTATTTTCCACTTCATTTTTGTTAATAGCTCAATATTATAGTCAGGTTCATTCATCATTAACTTTATAAATCATACTTTTTACTTGTTCAAGAGTGTAACAACCTGAGCTTATGTTGCGAAATTACCACGATAATTTCCAGAGTTTTATAATATATCATTTTCTCTATCACCACCGCAGATCAGAAACTGGCAACCGGAAGAAATTGAAAAACGATGAAACCAAAGCGATTTTATTGCTACGCGAAACATAGAATCGGTCAACTACTGCGAGCCAACTCACCAACAACTCGGCACTGATCGCAGTAGACGGATCTAGATCTGGCCACATCCTCTTCGACAACGTCAAGGCAGACCACCGCTGGGCTCGATTCCAGGCCGTCCGTCAAGTCACCGACTCGGAACAGGATCTGCCACGTCAGCAGGTGAGGGAACAAAGCCGAAGGCGGTGGAAGCAGCGCGTGCTTCGACAGGAAAGATCTCACGTTTGTCCGGAATGCTCCGCCGGAGAAATCTTCTCCAGCGACTGCAGGGGACGGAAACGTGAGAAAATCATAGAAATCAGCAGTGACTCTCCTCTTCATCCGCTTCAATGGCTTCCCACCGCTAACGACCATAACGGAGGCGGAAACAGGCGCGTGGCTCGATCTCAGGGGCGCGTGTAGTGAAAAAACACCGAGAATGATCGGAAACTTCTGGAGAAGATCTTTTAACTGAGGTAAGAGACGATGGAGGATGGAGGAAGAGGTAAGGAAGAGGCTAGCTTGTTTGTGGAAGATGTGAGTCGTTGGATTAATCTGCAATTTGAAAGGAATAATGGAATATAAAAGAAAAAACTAAAACAGCCTTTAAAAAAAGGGGGATTAAAAAAAAAAGCTTTTTGGGAAATGGAGAGAAACGAGTGAAGTGGTTTGGAGGGAGAGAGAATTTCAAGGATCGAAGATCGGTACCTTAGTCGTTAAGCAAATTTACCGTCCCAGAGTGATTGTACACAGGGACACGTGAAATTACCGTTGTACCCTCATCATCTGAGTATGACGAACTTTCTAGGAAGGATACTAAAATTGGAGCTTTTTAGTTGGTAGGTGAATTTAATGAGAGGGAATAGTACGAAGAATACATTTAATCGTGCGAGTGACACTTGGAATAAAAAAAATAATAAATTAATTCTGATATAGAATCAAAACATTTCAAAGACGTCACTTTGGGAATAAATTAAAGATCGCATTAATTCAACTTATACCCCTTGAGGAGGAAGATTAAGATAGGATTGATTGGTGGTGCATGGTAAAAAATAGCATTGTACTGTAAGGTTATTTAGGTAACTTTAAGAGTACCTTCAAATTACATTTATGATGTATTTTTACCCAATCTATTACATAGTTGAATCTTTTAAACAAATTTTGTCATATATAAATTAAAAGCTAAATGCACCAACAATCTTACACCTAATAGAAGGAAGATAGAGAAACAAACTTTGGGGAAACTACTAGAATTTCCAACCTCCCTCAAAAAGTACGTATCCATATGAAAATTTTAACTCATGTTTTAAATATGAAGAGTTAGATAATTGGTTTAAACAGATTAAAAAAATTAGTTAAATTAGTTTTTTAGAAAAATAATTTAAGTTAGGTATTTTAAAATAATATGGATTATTTTAATTATTTACGTAAAAAACCATCCTATTGATTACACATATTCTTTAGAAAAATATAATAAATATGGGATACAATTTTAACTATCCCCGTACTCTTATCATAGAAGCATAATATTTGAGACATTACTGAGTATTAATTGTAAGTGTGTTCTTTTAACAAAGATTTAAATCTAAGTTCATTGTCATGTAAGAAAATAGCTTGTTCCATTTTACACCTAAGCTAACCCTCAACGCAAATCTAAGACCATCATTGTGAGGGAACAATACATTTCACTGAATCCTTTTTATAACCACACTCGAAAACTAAAACCATACCAAACCAATATTTACCAGCCTGAGACTCTTACATAGATTCTTTGTGGAGGAACAGACATTTTTGGGCAACGATCACTTGTCTTTGACTCATTTTTAACTACTTTCTCTAATTCCTATTATATAATCAAGTTATTAACAACAAAGAAATTCAGTCGAAATTAAGTGATGCTTTTAAATTTTTGGAATTAATTTTATGTTGCATTTGGTTGTAAGGAGATTTGAATTTGGATTCAAATCCATAAAAAATTTATGTATTTTGATTGGATACAAATGTAAATCCATATTTTTATTATAATTTTTTGCATTTTCAAATCTCTTATGCATCCTAGTTATTTGAAATGGTAGCTACTCTAATTCTTTTGTTTCTTTTCTATTTTCATTTTTTATCTCCTTTTCTTAGTCTTTAAATTTGAAACATTTTATACTACTCAAACAAAAAATTTAAAATACATTAGATTCAAAATTTGATATTTTAAATCTAAAATTCGAATTTAAATTCACCAATCCAAATGATACCTTGATGAAATTCATTGTTTAGAGGATGAGTTAATTAGAAACTACCAAATCAAAGGACATTTATGAGAAATATTTTCAATGAATAGTCTAAAAGGTTCGAAGTAAGTATTTGTGAATTATGATTTTTTTTTCTTTAAAATATACAAAATGCTAGAGCTATTTTCTAGTTTTAATCGTTTTTAAAATTTTATTTGATGAATCATGATCAAAATTCAAAACCTTTGGTATGCTACTATCATTATTTGAATAAGCAATAAGCCATAGTTTATCACCAAGAAAATCCTTACAACACATCAGGATGCCTTTCTTATTGAACCCAATCATAATCCTCAGGTTACAAGAATTCATAATGATACAGTATTCTTTTCACTTGATCAACTAACTGATTCAACTAACTGATCTCTGACTCCTAAATCATTTGAGTATAAAAAATGGGAAGAAAGAAAACTGAATTTGGCAAAGGAACAAAAACAAAAGAAAGGTAGAATACATTTGATACAACAATTGCCCAAACCCAGACGAAGGTGCAAGATGAGGCGTTGTGCTAGCCATGCAACCCGGATTTGCTGATGAATTGTTATTTCCAGCACACTATAGTGTGGGCCATGCAAAAGCCTGCAATAAGACAAAGTTATGTTGGTCTAGGCCTGATTCATGATCAGGGGATTAGGGTCTTCAGGCTTCAACAAGGATCATATATATATTCAACAAAATAAATATATTCTAAAGGATATCCTTTATAATCACGCAGTCATGCATTCAAAGAAAGTGCAAGACCCTACATGTGATCCTTGATCTCCATCTTCCATCTTCTCTGTCTAATTTTTATCCAACCACAATAAATATAGTGACAAAAGTTGTTTTAGAGGATCTGTATTGGTTATCTTCATTCCTTTACCTTTTTTTTTTTTTTTTGACTGAATTCATTCCTTTACATTAACAGGCACATAATCATGTTTTCTCTCCTTTCTCAACTATCTTTTCGAAAATCTTTGGGCCAATTTGTTTAAAATCAAGAAAATAGTTATTTTAGTTCAGTTTAACATTTAAGTTGTTAGAAGAACATTAAGGTAATCATGACAGATTTGTTTTTTTTTTTGGGGGGGGGGGGGAATCTAATTTTATTGTTATAAAAAAAAAAACTAACTTCAGCTTTTCTTCTTCTTCTTCTTCTTTTTTCAAATTATTCTACATTAACTTATCAAAATAAGCTTTTTCCGACGCATCCTTTATGTGTTTAGTTTAAAATTTTCCAAATCCCTCGTTCCCTCATACCCCACAACTTTTTTCATGTGTACCTGACTAAGATCACTTTTTTAATCTTAAAACAAACTGTTGGCTTTATCTTATCCAGATGTAAGGATGATAACAGAGATAAATCAGTCAAATGATATATAACCATTTCTGCATTAAAAATGGCACGATCTACGATTGACATTTTGGATTTGCTATCAAACTATGATAGTTTGATGCTTTGTTATTTGCTTAGTCAGCGGAAATGCAAAAGGTTGGTGAATCAATTGGGAGAAAGCAAGGTCATGTAAGCGGGTGCACCATATAAATTAAGAAGGAATCGCTCTTACCCTACAATTGCATCATAATCTCACAAGTTCCCAATCTACTTCTGACAAGTCGATAAATTCAACATCACCATCTTCAAACATAATCTGCAAAACGAAATGTATATCCGTATTGGTCAAATGCTCATGAAAATTACCAAAGCATAAACAAAATCTCTTACAGTGTGTTTTTTGGAATATTTATCGAACCGCTTTATAATCCCAAAACACCTATACAAGAAAGAAAATGATCACAATTCAACTCCTCAGCCAAAAAATATATATATGAAGTAAAACTAATTAATGAAGTGTAAATAGATTAGACAAGAAAAGAATATCTATTCAAAGATATAAAGTTAAAATAAACCTCTCATCCGTGGGGTGATTTATCCTAATAATTTCTCCAATGCAATTGTGTGAGTTCTTTGGTACACCGATAGCATGAGAATGTCCTGCAGCACCAAGCACAACATAATATAAACCCATACGAGAAAATGATAGCAGAACTTGAAGAATATGTTTTCCATTAAAAGAAATATTAAACAGAATATAACCACCAAGTACGGCCAAAAGCTTACCAATATGCAAGCCTCCATTCTGATAAACCTATCAGTAACAGAAACAAGTCCCGTAATTAGCCCATCTTTGTGCTGTAGCATGTAGTACGTACTATATTATACAGTTACAAAAATCAAGAACAAAAAAATTGCATGGAGCTAAACTTTAGAAAAAGTTTAGCGTGTTATCATGTGTTTTCTTCACTATTATATTAGGTTCTCAGTAGAATCAGGTAGCATTCTATCCAGCATCAAATTGAGCCAAGCCCGACCCCACCATTCCCAACGCCAAAAAAAAAAAAAATCAGCACCTCCAGGATCGTTCACCCCAAAACCAATATAAGCAAAGTTATATCAAATTATCAAAGGCCAATGGGCCCGAGAAATCAACTTATTTACTTCAGCAAAACGGGCAAAAAAGAACATATTTACAGTACAACAATCTCATATCTACACCTGTAAAGTCTAAAATTAAAAACAACATGAAAAAACTAGTCACTGCATAATGAAATATATAAAAACATACATGGCTTTCTTTTCCTTATCACTTCACCAACATCAAGGATCTCATTTAATGGTGATAAAGGTCTGACGTGAAATCTTGAACATACAAGTTTCAACTATGCTCCATGGTTCAGCTCATGTAAATGACTAAAATTATTCGGTTGTACTGATAAAATGATAAGATGAAGAGGAACACAATGACAGAAATAACAGAGTAGAGGAGATAAAAAAAAAAGTAATTAAGAAATTGATAAATCAATTAAAATACGAGGGAGAAAAATATACTAAATAGCCAGCACTAGCTCACTAGTCATAATAATGGAGGTAAACATAATATAGTGCCACTGAAATCCATTACTGTAACGTCATAACTTATAATTTAACAGCCACATAGACGTACAAATTTTTTAGATAAAACTGTTTTTAACGCTAGAGAAGATGCATCCACCTGATATGCGACTAATTTTAGTGCAGCATCTGACAATGTCTTAGGCTTTGTAGGTCGGACCCCCAACTTACGCCTGCACTCAGCAGCACCACAGTGGCAATCTTGATCTGCACCAAATTGAACAAACCTGCTATATAGTTAGAATTTATCATTTGTCTTACAATTATGAAAGAGGACATGGAACTGAAAGAATGCAAGAAAAAAGTTAAGCATTTGCTCATACTGATAATCATAAGTAAGATGCTCGCCCTTCCTTATGTCACGTGTTGCAAATATGCCAATTCTTGTTTCGCCATCAATTATCCTTATGAAGCAAAGGAGAAAAAGTACAATCTAAGATAAACTTTAATATGTGAAATTAGATGAAATACCTAATATTAAGACATAACAATAAGGAAAAAAAAAATAGTAAACCATTTCTGCATCTCCGTATTGGGGCAGCAACTATGATTTATATATCTTGATTTGTTCCCCTTATATGTTGCATCGATCACCATATCTCGGTTAATTTCACACAAGTAGAAGTTTGTCTCCCCCCGATGTTTCATATTCCAAAGCCTTTGTTCACATGTTTTGTCATCAATGACTGATAGAAAGAGGTAATATCCATTAAAGCATGTAAAATACTTCATATTTCACGGCTGAACATAGGCAAACACAGAATTATCACCTTCTCCAACATATTCAATGACAAAGTCCCCTTGCTTGATATCTTCATCCGCCACAATTCCAGAGCCACATTTCTCGGTCTACAAGCAATTCTTTAAAACTCATTATGCTAAGCGTAAATAGCATGTGCACAATGCAAGTGAAAAATTAACTTTCAGTAACACAATATGAATTGGAAGTAGCTAACAGCTTTACGATAGAGATTTATCCTCATAAAAAGTGACCCACGAACTAAGCAAACAAAAACAAGTATTACCAAAATATTGTTAACATGCTAAATAACTGAACCATAGAGCCGGAATTTTGACAACACTAGACCATAAGGCAAATAAAGAATAACTTTTGAAAACAACATAGATTCATATATTTACCACGGAGTTGGGAGAAAAAAAATATATTAGTGAAAACAATCATTTAAAGAAAATACTGAATTAAATGTACATTGTAGAAACCATGATTCCGAGAAGAAAGTTATACCTGAACCAATTTCATCTTTTTTGTAGGCCGATTCTGAAATGGTTTATTGAGACAAGAACTCCCACATTTACAGCCTGAAGAGCAGCTAGACATAAGCATCCTGCAGTCAACAAAGTGATTAAATATAATTATGAGTATTCCTCAGAATTTGTACATTGCAATAGAAAACCTTCTAGTTAATATGTCAGAGAAAATAGACACCATCATCTGCCATCAAAGATTTGAGTAGACAATTTAGGCTGTCAGGATAGATAAGGCAAAGAAATCACAGTTATACATTTGTAAAAGACAACTTACCCACAATGGCAATATTTACCACAAACACTAGAAGACCCAGGGGAGGGAGTACAGGAACAGAATATGCCATCATCATCAAGTCTTCTCTTTACCTTCTTTGCAACATATATATCTTAAATTTGTAAGAACCAACAAAGGCAGTTATGTATAACTAGAAGATTCCTTAAAAAAATATATAGACAAAAAGATAAAGAGAGTAAGAATCTATATATCCGCGTATAATATAAAAACTTCAACAAGTTGCGCTGCTATGAACATTTTTTAATAATATTCACAAAGGATACTGCGCTTTATAGAGACGTATGGCACTGCCTTCCACTTACTAAACCAATCTGGAAGTTCAAAATCAACAGGATCTCCCATCTCATTCATCAACTTGTTGAATACAAGACCTAACCGACTCTGCTCAGAATTCTGTTAAACAGGAAATATAGGAACTAACTCTCAAGCGCCAGGGCCAATAAGACTTTAACCATCTTAAGGAAGATAGCAAAAGGCTACAGTTATAAGTTCTCAAAAAGGAAATTTGCCAGAAGAACGCATGTCTAAAGCCCAGATAAATTCTTCAGTAGATAAACACTTATCACAATAGTCAGTTATTGAATAGACAGAAAAATCCTAAAAAACTTCTGTAGTGAATACAAAATAAAATAAAAAAGAAAAGGAAATTTACATGAAATAAATATAATCTTTTACTAGTGGTTGACTTTACAGTCACAGACATGAAACAGAGATATATCTTTAACATGTAATCATAATTTCATGTAAATTAATTTGCAATCAATTTATCAAGGGAAAGGTAGAAAAAAAAGAAATTCAAGCTGAGAAGACAATCAGGCGATAGAAGTCAAAGAGTCAAACTATGATTGAATAATCAAATTTGTGTGTGTGTGTGTGTGTGTGTGTGAGAGAGAGAGAGAGAGGGCAAGAGAAACACTAAAATGGAGCAGTCAAAGGTATTCCAACTCATAAAAACCTTCTTCATGGCAGGCATGCTGGCATTGCCTCTGGTGGAGTCACTTGATAAAAACTGAATAGTATTGTGATCAGGTTTGATCTCAATATCTCAACACAGGCTCAGACCATAAATTTGGATATTGAAAATCAATATCTCAAAATGTAAATGGAAAACTTTCCCTGCAACATGGAAGAATTTGTGAGCATGATTTGAAGTCAGTAAGCTGCATAAAAAATTCAAGTTCGAATTCCAAAAATCAACAATCACTCAAGATATCTTACGAGACAGTAATATCGATTAAGAAAACTTCTCTAATCATATACAGGGATGTGTAGCTTTTCATCGAACACACGAATGCCTCTGATGAAACAAAGCAAGAAAGTAGACAGGCTAAACTAAAGAATGAGGTTAAGCATTTGTTCTCCAGATAATATCAGTCAATATAAGCGAATGGAAAACGATGATAACATCACTCTGCAAAAGTAGACGATTCAATTAATGAAAATGCATGCATGAGATATACATCATGTAAAATAAATCGATTCACACACATATAACAGCATATAAAGCAGATTCCTCGTCACCCTCAACAGATCCACCAGTCATCAAGTTCATTTCATCATTACAAATGAGAAAGAAGAGAACCAAGAATTCATAAATTTCTTTAACAGTAATCAAAATCTGGAGAAGAAACCTTAATGTGTATCTCTTTCCCTTCATATCAAAGATTTTCCCGTTCTTTCCAATCTCGCCCATTCCAACTTCTACCCCATCTTCGCTTCACCGCGCAATTCCCATCCAGCATTATCCATTAAACATCAAAATTTGCTCGGAACAGTTTTTTAGCAAAATTTCCTTAAAAAATCATATTGTGCTTGCAATTCTTACTCTTTTCAAGCAAATAACTCACTGTGACTATGCATTCCTCTTAAAAGAACTCAAGTATTCGTTTCCCTTTCAAGTCAATTCTTTCGCTAGACACCACATCCAAGGCCCACCATATACACTTTTTCTATTAACCGTGCCGTGTAAATCAAATACGTCTTTGGCGGCTCATCAAAGACAACGTTTAAAAGAAAAAAATCCAAGATAGCTCATTCAAAATGATAATAGCTACCAATTAAGAAACTTTTCAAAGGAAGAAAAGCAAACAGAGGCCGAAAATGTATAAAGATATGAAAAAGTGAAAGTGAGAGAACCTGCAGGATCCCGGATCCGTAGAACAAGTCGCAACAAGGCGGTTGACAATGAGAGTAGCGATGAGATTTGAGAGGAAGACGAAGAATGTAGAATGATTTGGCGTAACGGGAGGGAGAAGAGCAAAACAAAAAAAAAAAATGAAGGTGTTGAATTTGAGATTGGAAGAGATGTACTTGATAACCAGCGAAGGTACCAGGTACTACTTTCCAGCTTGATTTGAAATGGATGCTGACGCCGCGGGAAGAAGAGCCAAGCGAGGGTTCGATTTAAAAAAAAAAAAAAGGATCAGGATGCACTTACCATTCACTTCATTTGACAAAAATTTAATAAAAATAAATTATTATATTATAATAAAATTTATATTTAGATTTACTCCCTCTGTTTAAAAATATAAAGCATTTTTTAAGGAATTAAATATTAAAAAATATAAAACATTTTTACTCTTTTGAGGCATAATCATTACCTTTTTTTCTAAAATTGCCTTTATTGATGAATAACTTTATATTTATTATAGAGTGTTTAATAAATATAAATATAAAAAAATAAAGTTAATTTAAAAGTAGATAACTATTTTATTAGAAATAAAATTTAATTAAAAATGTCTTACCTTTTTTAACGGATGGAGTATTTTTTAAAAAACATATTTGATAAATTGAAAATTATTTGAATAGTATATAGTAAAAATAAGTTCTAGATATGTAATTAATAAAAAAGTATCAGTCTTATTATAAATAATTTTTTGTTATAAAAATCTTGATATATTGAAAAAAAATTGATTTAAAAATAATTTATAAATAACAAACTTTTCCAAGATTTTTATAAGTATATTGATTTATATAAATTTAAATAATTTATAAACAAATACATTTTAAAAATAAATGATTTCACTCAAAAGTATAAAAAAATAAAAATTAATATTCTTTCACTAAAAATATATCAAAAATAATATATAAAATATCAAATAAAAGAAAAAATAGTTTTATAAAAAGTAAACAAATATAATTGAATAATTCTGTCAAAAAAACATAAGTATGGTAAGAAAATAAGCTACAAGGATATTATGGTCAATGGAGTCTTACTTCACTTTCAAATTGAAAAACGTAAAAGCAACTGAAAGTTAACTGTTTTTTTGGGTTAAAAAAATTCTCAATTGAACTTAGCAACCAACTGAGATTAACTAAATGAGATTAGAAAAAAAAAATTTATAACTATAATATAATTTATATTTAAATATTTTTTTTAAGTCAGTTAGATAAACTGAAATTTATTTATATAATATAATTCAAAAATCAATTAAGATGTATAATGACAAAATAGACATGAGTTTTTTGCATATTTTTTAATGAAAAATATTAAAGTTTAAATTATAATTTAAAAAAAGGAGTTCATATATAATTTATTGTTTGTAAATTATAAAACTCTAAAGTAAATTAACAAATTACAAAATATTAAATTATAAAAAAATTAGAATAACCCTATGTACATGCAGTAAAAAAGTCATTCTAGATCTAACGATTGGAGTATAGAAATACCAAAAAATAGAAAACGACTAAAATACAAAACCAGATAAAGAGTTTATTAAGCCAAAAAATATAACAGTGGAGGCCAAAATTATTCAGAGAGTACACCATCGTAATTAACAAACGGTAAAAAAATGTAAACAGTATTGCATGCTGTCAAGATGGGACTAACGCAACACTAAAAGCCAAACTCATTAGCTTTTGGTCTAACCAATGTTTTAAGATAAAAGCACTTTTCAATTTTTTTTAAACCAAACAAAACATAATGAGTTTTTTGGACCCATGTGTCAATTAGAGTCCTCCAAACCTCGGGTAGAGTCTTATCCAAACATACTTTAAGTTCTTCAAAACCACATTTCATAATTTTTTCAATGGACTTCTTAAGTTTGCTTTGATTTTTTTTTTTTAAACAAAACCAAACAACTTCAACATTTAAAAATTTTTAAAAGCACTTTGCAAACATAAAAAATTTATTACCCAAACATATACTAAATTAATTGTCACAGCAATTTTATTTTTAAAGTAATTAAAATGCAGCATATTTATCTCTAATATTGACAATTAAAAATATTTATTGGGACTTAACTTTGATTGAAAATGCCACTTATCATGCTAAATGAATCCAAATTATTGCGTATTTTAGCCCAGGAATTATTTTTCAAGGAATACCTAATATCCTAAACTATTTGCACTATAGCAATTTTACCCCTAAAATAATTAAAATGTAGCATGACAAGTGATTTTTTTTATCAAACTAAATCTTAATTAACATTTTCAACTATCAATGTTGAGGTATTTAACGTTAAGAGAAAATATGTTATGTTTTAGTTATTTTAAAGGCAAAATTACTATAATAAATAGTATTTAGGACATTGAATACTTTTTGAAAAATAATTTAAAAATAAAAATGTACCTTAACCCTTAAAGAAAAACGTCAAAGAGAGATGGACAACGTAAATAAAAGAAATAATAGAAAAGTTAATTAATTAATCCATCCATTTTTTTCTTGTTAAGTTGGGATATCCTATATTTTTAACTCATACTAATATTTAAGTCCTCTAAAGTTAAAATTAGTGAATTTCAATGAAATTTTTCATTTTTAGTATTTTTTTTCATTGTATTATTTTATATAAAATATAAAATCTTCCATTTCTTTCTTAAAAGACAAACTTTATATAGATTTCAACTTCAAAATATTTAAATCTCATACTAATCTATTTAGGATCCAACTTAGTTTAGTTGGCAACTTATGAGCATTTCTTTAAAGACGGGCTTCTTATTGTTATCCCTCCATTTTTCTAACATTTAGTTTTTATTTTCAAATTTGTCCTTATAAACTTGAACCATTTAAAAATTAGTCATTGACCTTTCAAATGTTTATAATTAGGTCCTTCAACAGGCTAAGTGTAAATAATAAAAAAATATTTAATCCTTATAATTTTAATTTAATTATAACTAAATCATTGAACTTGTTGTAATTTAGTCCTTATAATTTTAACTCGATTTACAAATTTTAATTCAATGCAAATTAGTTTCTATAGTTTTATTTTGGTCAAACAATCCCTATAGTTTTGACGGTTTAAAATATTAGTCTCTATATTGTAAAAATAAAATTATAAATATTAAAATTATTTTAAAATTTTAATCTTTATAAAGAGTGAATGTTTTATTAATTTAAAATCATAATTCCTAAATTTTAAAATTATTTTAATCTTTTTATTTTATTTTTAAAATATTAAAAATAATATTTTAAATTATTAATGTAACACCCTCAAATTTACAAACCGATTTTTCGCAAATCATTAATTCAATAAATCATTTTTTTTCTATTTTTTTTCATTGAACCCTTATCATGGTAGAAAAATTTCTACCACGATACATCCAAGACAATATACCACAGGTCTTAAAATATCTCAAAAAAAAAACAATTAGAACCATGAGGGACAGACATGATCCTCATAGCATGTTATTCAAATCAGATCATAAATCAAGAGGGACAGACATAATCCTCTTGGTCATATAAATACTTTTAATAAAAAGAATTAGAGTTTACACACTTCACAAAGAAGATATGTCTTAAGTTGGCACAAGATACATTGTATAATCTAAAATAAGAGGCAACGTAAAAGATGGTGTCTCATACACCACAGTTACACCTCTGGTGCTTTCTCGGCCGGACTCGCTCCTGTAAAAATATTAACCACGGGGAATGAGACTTAAAAGTCTCAGTAACCAAAAATTAATATGTAATGATGCATGTGGATGTAACTAATCATGCGATTGCTAAGTGGGCATACAAAACATTTAACCGAACAAGTATTTAATTTGCATGACTGCACCTTATATCCTCCTTTCACCATGCTCGGACGCCAAATCACCCGGCTAAAGGTGAGTTGGACCAAGCGACACGCCACTCATTGGGTCCAATGAGGGCTTACCACGTGGTAATAATTAACCGAACAGAAATTCCCATTAACACCATACATTAAAATACCCTGACAAGTCATGCATCATTCAAATATCCAAACAGAAATATATCCGAACAATAATATCTCATCATGATAAACAAAAAATAAATTTTTAACCCACTTGGCAATGATTTCACGGAAGTATATAACAGTATTTATTTTCAATAATTCATAATTTTTCCAAACAACAAAACAACACATAACCATTCACAAACACACCCATCACAACACATTAATAATGGTTACCTTTTGTCTTGAATAACAAGTTCCCCTTCACAACTCCTTTTTCACCACTATATTTGTCAATATAATCTACATAATTATTTCACAATACTATATATTAATTTTACATTAAAATAAATAACTCTAATTTAAAGAGTTAGAAAGTCTTAAATCTATAGTCCATATTAACACTAATTTAAGATTTATGCCTCATTTAACTTCCCAAATTCTTTTCTAAAATTCTCGTACCCTAATGAACTATTTTTTTTTATCCTCAATTCACTTCTAGTATCACAATTTCATCCTTCTACATTCTAAAAATTCATCCAAAAATAAATTAAAAATTTTAGAATTATCCTGAAACCTCAAATCACCTTTCTATAACCTCAAAAATACCTATTCATACTTAAATAAATATTTAATAATCATAGATTTATCCCTACATCTCAGATTCCACATAAATTCAACCATATAGATCTAGATTTTAACTCAAAAATTCTTAAACATGAGTTTCAACCTCAAGAAAATATTCTATAATATTTATTATATCCCTAAGAGTTTTAACCTATATTTTTAATCCATCATATCATCAGATTAACTATCCTATAGAAAAATCCTAATCAGAATATTTACTTTATCCCATAAAATATTCATATCACTAGAAAGCTAATATTATTTAGAAAATAACTATAAAATTAATTTTGTAATTAAATAAATTTTTAAATACTAATCTAAATAGGAAAGTTAGAACATACCTGAAGAAAAAGAAAATAATCCCCCCTTGCGAGAAAAACGCCGAGCAACGTGAGAGGAAGAGAGAAAAATAATATAAAAATGGGATTGTGGTCCCAAAATTATATTAAAAAAAACTATAGGTTCGAATTTAATTGTTCAAACCTTTGGGCCAAAAGTTGCAATTTCCTCTAAATTGCATCTTAGCCTCTCATGCTTCCTAATGCACACACCCCCTCCTTTTTATACATGAAGGCACCTCTTCTCTTT